CCCCCCCCCCCCCTCCCTCTCTCTCTCTCTCTCTCTCTCTCTCTCTCTCTCTCTCTCTCTCTCTCTCTCTCTCTCTCTCTCACACACACACACACACACACACACACAGATACCATGGCTTGCTAAGGCATGCTGTAAGGAGACTCCGAGTCAGGATTTGAACCCAGGCTCCTGGCCCCAGGTTGCAGTCTGTGCTGAGGGAAGAGCTGGCTGAGACATAGAAATGGAGAGGGCATCCCTGGCTGTGGGAACAGCCTGGGAAAATGCAGGGCAGTCGGGCCAGAGGGGAGTCTGTCCTTCTGCAGCTGTGAACAGTCCTGGTTGGCCTGTGACCACAGGGAGTGTGGTGTTGGCTCCTGGAAGAGTTGTCACTGAGGGGCCCTGGGTTTTCCCCAGCCTTCCTGGGGACCTGCAGGGCAGGGAGTGCAGTAGCCAGATGTGGGGCTGGCTCTCACAAGGGACTGGCACAGGCAGGCACAGTGCAGACCTTCACCTTTGCTGGTCCCTGTAGGGAACGGAGTCTGATGAGACGCCTGGGCAGCTTGGCCAGGGCCGCAGCCCGACTGTGCTGTAGCTGTCCCTGCCGCTCTTCTGTGACCTCAGTTGGGGTCAGCCCTCGGTGCCCCTGTCAGGCTGTGAGGCCTGAGACCCTGTCTGGGGACAGACCTGTAAGACCTGGGGAACTCGGCAACTTACTTGTCTTTTCACCTGAGGGTCTAGGGCAGGGCTGAGTGTCAAGACCATCTTGGAGCCCTGGGCCTGTCCCCTTGGGTGGTGGCAGCAAAGGAAGGGGCCTCTGGGGCTGGCTGAGCAGAAGCCCACAGAAACCAGAGAAGTCATGCTGGCAGGGCTGAGTGGGCACAGAATCACATGGCGGGGGACTTTGGTCACACATCTGAGAGGGGCGTGGAGGGCTGGACCAGAGCTGGGAGGAGGCGTGGTCCGCAAGGAAGCACAAATCCGGTGGCAGAGGCCCTGGCAGCCCAGTGAGCAGGGTACCGCTGCCCCCTGGTGGTCACATGGTGACATTGCTCGGGCAGCTGGTTGCGAGGCGCTGGACAGGGGATGTGGGTGCTCGGCGTGCTCAGCCCAGCCCTGCCACCCTGAGATACCCTTGCTGACCTTGGGGGTTTGCTCTGCATAGGGGAAGAGTTGTGGGGTCTTTCTTCTCCCTCCGCTCGCCCTCTTACCGCAGTCTCATTACTGAGCATCTGCCGTGTGCCTGGGCGGTGCGCTCCTTCGCTTTCCAGAACGGTGCCCTGGAGAGGGCTCAGCTGCGACCCTCAGCACAGGCTGTACTGGAAGATTTGGGCCGAACATCATCAGTGTCCCTCCAGCTTCGCCTTTCTACCAGCCCAGTACGGTCTGGCTGTGCGGCGTCTGGTGGGGCACTCGCGTTCTCTGGGCCTCTCTCTCCCCATCTGTACGATATCCGCCTCAGCAGCTTTCCGGCTGCTCACACAGACCGGACAAGGGCAAAAGCCAGGGCCCTCTTGTTTTTGGGTGCAGAGGCTGAGAGCCGAGCTTGTGCTGTGACCCCCACTCAGGCCTGGACACGGGGGTCTGAGCGCCTGCCTGCACCCTAGCAGCAAGGCACGCGGCGGTGGTGCTGGTGGGGTTAGTGCTTTGACACTGGAAGGGACGGACGGACGGACACGGAGTGTAGACTGTTTGCTCCGTGACAGAGAGGCATCAGGGTATCAGACTGAACACGTAACGGGCTCTCGGTGGGCTGGCCCAGCAGCAGGTGGTTCATGCCTAGCACACAGGAGGGGGCTCTAGCAGCCTGCAGTGGGTGGGTGGCAGTGGCCTGCTGCCTCAAAGGAGGTGATATGGGGGCCGAGGGGGGTGAGAACTGGGTGGCGAGCTCTGCACGGAAAGGAAGTGGAGGGCAGGGGTGGGGCGTGTGCTTGTGCATTCGTGTGTACGCACGTGTGTGCTCAGGCAGGGCTCATGTGCTGGGTTTTGCTAGAGTGCAGGGGTGGTGGGGCCGAGGCCTGGGTGTCATGGGGTGTCACCGGGCAGGGCTGTGCTGGTCGGGAGCCGTGCTGGTGCCGGGCCGAGGCTGTGGCCCTTGCCAAGGAGCAGGAACAGCGCAGGGCTGTTCTCAGCTGAGTGAGGAAGGGACAGAGGATGAGGGTGGTGAGACAGCAGGTGGGGAGTGGGCCGCTGGGCCCGGAGAGCTGCCTGGCCGGGAAGCGGCCCTGGGCCAGGGACGCGGCTGGTCTTAGCAGGAAGCTCAGTGCTTGTAGACGTGTTGACACCCACTCTCGGGTGTGCCCGACCTGGAGGGCGCTGGCAGTGCACCTGGATACCCCACTGGGGTGGCCAGGGAGCCAGCCGCGGCCCGAGCAGGAAGGAGGTGGGTGAGTCTAGGAGTAGCAAGGAATCCGGGGCCCAAACGTGGCAGGGACCCTGGGAGGTCTGGTCTGGGGCCAAGCTCGGTGGCACAGCGCTTTTCCAGCATGAGGGGGTTCCATTCCCAGCATCACAAACAAAAAAGGGGAGGAGATGGCTACAGGGCAGCAGGCCCACATCTTGTGGGGCAACTCAGGTCAGGTCAGGTCAAAGGGAGGAGCTTAGATTTTATCCATGAGCCACTGACAGAGGGCAGCAGTGTGGAAACCAGGTGTAAAGGGTGTGTGGTGGCCGTGTAGGCGACCGTTTGGGGTAGGAACAAGCATGGAAGTGGGGCTGGGTGACAGGCTGCCCGTGCGACAAGAGCTGGTGGTGACAGCAAAGTTAGAGATGAAAGTTGATGTCATCGACGGGTTGAGGACCACTAGATAATTCATCTGTCAGGGCCGGGGATTTAGCTCAGCAGATTCACCGCCTGCCTCACAAGTGCAAGGTCCCAAGTTCAATCCCGGAACAACACACGCGCGCGCGCGCACACGCATCTGTCAGTGCACTTGCAAAGATGTTTATGACATAGTGTTAGGTGGAGAAATTAGATTGCAAACCAATGCATTCTCATCAGTCTATTAAAAACGCATAGAGAAAAATACATAGAGAAGCTGTAGGATCGCAAGTTCAGGCTCAGCCCGGGTGACTCAGATCCTGTCTCAAATTGAAAAATGAAGACAAGGCTGGGATTGTGTCTCAGTGGTAGAGCGGCAGGGCACACATAGGCTCCACCCCTAGTACCACAAACCAAATCAAACCAAGCCAAAAACTGTAGAAAGAAGGGCTCTAAATAGTGAGCTGTCACGGCCATGTCACCTGGGGGATCTTAGTTTCTTCGTTTTGACTCACTTGCATTTTCCATATTGGCTCAGCACCCAGAAAAGAGCACTGGGAGCTGAGTAGTGTGGGCTCATGTCTCCCGCCCATCCAGGAGTACGAGAAGCGCCTGGCCCGGCTGAGGGCCGACTACGAGGCAGAGCAGGAGTCCCGCACCAGGCTGGAGGAGGACATCACCGCCATGCGCAACTCGTATGACATGCAGCTGTCCACGCTGCAGGAGAACCTGCGGAAGGGGACAGGTGGGCGCCACCTGGCTGCTGTCACACCCAGCCACTCCCGTTGACTCCTCAGAGCAGGCCAGGGAGGGGCATCACTGTCCCCCTCCTTTCCTAGGTCAGGAGACCCCGGCAAAGAGGTGTGAGCAGTTGCCCATGGTCACGCGGCTGGGGAGGTAGCGCCAGGGGATTGGAACCCACGCACTCTGGCCCCAGAGGCAGAGTTCTCGCATGTGACGTTGCATCCCGGGGTTTGTCTCCATCTTCAGCTGCTCCAGGCTGACTCAGAGGGGTGATGTGTCACCCTTGTTTGAGGGGAGGGTCCCCGCTGCAAGTTTCTTTGTTTTCTGCACTCTCCTCTCACTTCTGAGCCTTTTTTATGGTTACCAGAGCAACCATATCCCATGTGTATGAGCTCATTAGCAAGAATGTTTGTGTGGAAGCTGTCTCCTTTTTTGTTTTTGTTTGTTTTGAGGCAGGATCTCACTCTGTAGTTCAGGCTGGCCTTGAACTCCCTATGCAGTCCAGGCTGGCCTCAACTTGCAGTGATCTTCCTGCCTCAGCCTCCCAAATGCTAGGATGGTAGGTGGGCACCACCATGCCTGGCAACTGCCGCCTTTTGATTGTCTAGGTCTAGAATGTATCATCCAAACAGCTGTTCTAGAGCTGGGTGTGGTGACGCACACCTGTAATACCAGCACTTGGGAGGCTGAGGCAGGAGGATCACAGTGAGTTTGAGACCAGCCTGGGCTACACAGTGAGTTACAGGCTCAACTACCTAGTGAGACCCTGTCTCAAAAAATTGAAAACAAAACAAAACAAACAGCTGTGCCAGGCTGGGGATTTAGCTCAGTGGTTCCGCCGTCTGCCTCACAAGTGCAAGGACCCAAGTTGGATCCCTGGTACAAAACAAAACAAACAAAAAAAAAGCTGTGCTACTGGGTCCTGCTCCCCACAGTGCCAACACATCCGCTTTCGCAATGATGACAGTGCCGAGCATAGTGTGGGCACCTGGTGTGGACCCTGCTGCGCGCTGGGCATCCCCTCCTGGAGCCTCCTCTATCCAGATAGGTAGGATCCCTGAACCCTCACTTAGCAGGTGTGGAAGCTAAGGCTGAGAGAGGTTGAGGCCCATGTTTCAGCAGAGGGCAGCAGGGACACTGGCGATGGAGAAATGGATGGGACAAGAAGGGCGACTGAAGGCCCTGGCTGTGTGAGCAAAGCCCAGAGAGAGGGCGGCTGCTGGCGTTTTCCTTCCTCCCCTCAGAGCCCCGCCAGGGTGAGCATCAGGCCTCCCTCTGGACTGTATTTGGTCTGCATAGGTCTAACAGGTACTCGTAGTGTTCATTTAATGGGCAGGCTTCTAGCATGTTCTGTGGCCACAAACGGAGGCTGGTGCTCTAGTGAGGGACCTGGGGGTCTGGTGGTGAAGGCTGTAAGACCCACGGGCAGCCTGCTGAGTGGGAGAGGTCCCAGGGCAGGATGCCCAGAGCCCGGCACGTAGCGGCTGGGGAGATCAGCCTGCCGAGGTCCCGTGCTGGTCGGAGGAGGCTTCCTGGAAGAGAGGGCAGCGTTTGTGTTCCAAGGGGGCAGGGATGGCCGGCACCGAGACTGGACCGTAAGGGTGCTGGGAGGCTTTGACTCTTGGCTGGGCAGCCCCCTCACCCTTGCACTCACAAAGCTCAGGAAGCCCTTCTTTTGCAGAGGCCGTTCTGAAAGCAGAAGTCCTCCACGGTGCCAAGGTCCTGCCCAGGGCCGAGTTTGCCAACGTGTCTGAACATGCACCTCCCTTCTGGTTCGAGGCACCCGTGAGGCCTGCCGCGTCCTCTGTGCCCAACACCCTGCCCAGAGATGTGGTCTCCAACACCCAGATTCCCTCCAGATCTGAGGAGCTGCGTAGGGCAGAGCCCTCCAAGTCTGAGATTTCTCTCAGGTCCAGTGAGTCATCCACACTGGAAGAATCCTGCATGTGTGAAGCCTTCCCTGGGCCCGAGGAGCTGTCCAGCCTGGAGCTCGGCGGGCCGGAGGTGGGGTCCCAGAGCAAGTACTTCCTGGAGGAGGACCTCGGCCAGGAGGACGCTGGGACCCGGCCGGAGGGCGAGAACTACATCCAGGCGGAGGAGCCGCCCCTGGTGGCCCCGCGGATGGGACCAAACCTGCAGGACCCGGTTGCCGAGGTGGACGCCAAGCTGGCCGGCCTGTCCTCCATGGTGGCCAGGACGGATGCGCTGCCAGTCCCCGTTCAGGTAGCTGGTGTCACACACGAGGCCACGCAGAAGTCCAGCAGGCAGAGGGAAGGAGCCCTCTGTCTGAGGATCCACACGCCAGTGGGGAAGTTGGGGTGGAGACACACAGCACAGGCAGTCGCCTGCCCACTGACAGAGCGCCTGCCTGGGGAATCGGCAGCGAAGCTCTCCCTGTCCCCTTCCAACACTTTTTTCCTTCTTAATCCTCTTTTTCTGTTTTTTCCCCCCGGTACTGGCCCTAGCATGTGCCCTGTGTGTCCTCTTGCTCCTCACCCCTTCTGGGCCCTTCTCCCAGCAGCGACAGCAGCGACAGGTGGAGGAGGCTGTGGGCGGTGACACCCTGGGCAGTTGTGTGCAGGGCAGGATGGCAGGGGACAGGAGGAGGGTTCCAGACCAGTCTTCCTCCACATCCCGTTTCCCCCCAAGCACACCTCCCTGACAGCCCTGTCGGAGCCCTCCCCATTTTGAGTCCTCCCCTGGTCCGGCTCTGCCCGTCTTCCTGTGAATCTGGCTTGTCCCTTCCTCCTCGGGCCCCAGTTTCCCTGTTCATGAGACAGGAAAAACAGCCCTGGATTCCCCCGGGGCTCGTAGCAGATGGCAAAGTCTGTGTGATATTCAGATTTCAGACCTTCCTACCCTTGAGGCCCTTCGTGTGAAGAAGTGGGGGCTGGGATATGCAGAGGACCAAGGCTGCAGGCCTGGTTTGGACCCTGCTGCTCTAGGACCCTACCCTTTCTCTTCTGCTGAAGACAGCAGGGCTGGTCTGGGGCTGAGAGAGGAAAGCTTTAACTCTCCCCACCCTTAGGGAGAACGAAGAGTCCTGCTGAGCTACATAGCCGTAGATGTAAGGGGAGTGGCTGAGAAGCCCTAGCTAGATGGTAGCGTGGAGGTGGGACTCAGACCAGAAGGAAAGGCAGGAAGAGCAGCAGGTGCCAAGGCCCTGTGGCTGGGAAGGTTTTTACTTGCTCAGCAACAGAAAGAGAGGTCAAGGGCAGGGATTTAGCTCAGAGGTTCCGCCACCTGCCTTGCAAGTGCAAGGACCCAAGTTTGATCTCCGGTACCAAAATAAAAAGAGTCAGCAGGGTAGAGGTGGGGAAAGACTGGGGGAAGTAGGGATCAGGGGCAAGACCATGGAGGAGGATGGATCCTTCTGGAGATTAATTCTTTTTTTTTAATTCTATGGGAAGTCATGAAGGTTTGAAAGCAGGAAAGGGATGCTGTAATTGGTTTATATTTGAAGAAAATTTCCCTGGCTACCATGTGGAGACTGGGCCTTGGAGACCAGTGTTTCAGATTTTGGAGTTTTTCAGGTTTGGGAATATTTGCACAGATTTTAACGTATGAGTATCCCTAACCTGAACGCCAAAATCCAGAATGTTCTGATACCCAGAAGTGAGCACCATGGAGCTCAAAAACGTTCACATTTCAGAGAAGTTTGGATTTAAGGTGTTTGGATTAGGGGTGTTCAACCTGTATCTCCAGAGAAGTTCCGTGCCAGATCTTGATGGGTGGACTGTCCCTTGTGGGACCGAGGCCACCTGTGAGCTCATCCCCATCTGGACTCCTCCCCTGTTCAGGAGGCTGATCTGGTCCCAGAAGTGGCGGAGGTGCCCACGGCAGAGCTGGAGACGTGGATGGAAGCCAAGGCCCAGATGGTCCTGGCGACCCAGCCTCAGCCCCTGCTGGCCACAGCAAGTGGGAGAAGCGGGAGTGTGGGTGTGGATGAGGCTGCGCTGACGGAGGAGCCGCTGCCTGTCGTGGACCAGCAGCGGGTGCTGGCCCGGTGAGCACCCGGGGGTCCTGCCGCAGGGCAGGAGGGAGCGGGACCCAGCCTGCGGGTGGGTGGGTGGGATGGGATCAGAGCTTCTTCCTGACCCCCCCTGCTGACCACACCAGCTGTCCCCCTACTATGGCTGAGGCAGCCCTGTCCTCTGTCCTAGCGGGGAACAGGCTGCCACAGGTGTCACTCCTGGGCTTCTGGAGGGCCTGGTCTGTGGGCTCCGGGAATCCCCAGGGCAGGTGGGCATTCCTCATTTCCTGGCCTTGGTGGGATGGGATCAGAGCTTCTTCCTGACCCCCCCTGCTGACCACACCAGCTGTCCCCCTACTATGGCTGAGGCAGCCCTGTCCTCTGTCCTAGCGGGGAACAGGCTGCCACAGGTGTCACTCCTGGGCTTCTGGAGGGCCTGGTCTGTGGGCTCCGGGAATCCCCAGGGCAGGTGGGCATTCCTCATTTCCTGGCCTTCAGTGCCCTCTGTGATCGACAGGCACCTTCGCCGGAGATGGGCCACCCCACATCTCTGAGACCCCTTAGGGAGCTGGGCATCCTTCACTTGATGTGCGGCTTTGTGGAAAGCCCACTTCTGAGCCTCAGTTTTTACTCCTGCTGGCAATTCTGTCATATCCCACCTTGTGGTCACAGGCTGGGGACCCAGCCTCCTCCCGGCACCGGGAGTCCGGTCCCACCAGCCACAGTTCAAAACGAGCTTCTGTGCCCAGGATGCGCTGAGTGGCTGCTGCCTTGGCCCCAAGGGAACCCTGGTCTGGGGAGGGCTGGGTGCTGGAGGAGCAGGAAGCCCTGGGCAGGCGTGCTGTCTACCTCTGCGGCCTTGGTTTCTTATCTGCAAAATAGGTGATACTAAGGGCCTGGAATTTAGCTCAGTGATTCTGCTGCCTCGAAAGCTCAAGGTCCGGAGTTCCATTCCCAGTATAAAACCAGACCAAAACAAAACAAAACAAAAAAACAGGCAAAATAGGTGATACTACCAGTTGCAGTTGTACAGGTGGTGACAGCCCAGTGGCCCGGCACATGGAGGGCACTCAGCCGCTTTGAGGCCATTTTACCTTGGGGTCTGCAGTGAAGATCAGGGAAGGCTTTACAGAAAAGGGACACCCGAGCAAAGTATGCAAGCCGTGTACCCCAGGGGTGGCTTTCTCGGTAAGGAGCAGAGGGGCAGGGTAGGAAACAGTCTCCATTCTAGAAGTTGTAGTAGGAATTTGGGCTGGAGCAAGCTGGGGGTTCTGGTGTCCTGATGGGATCTCAGACAGGGTTTTCAAGAGAGGAGCGCTCTGGACAAGGTGTCCTCGGCCCTGGCTGCTTCTGCGCAGAGCCTGTGGATCCTGTGCCACCCCCAGCCTGACTCTCACCCTTTTTCTCCAATGTCCCCTGCCTTTTGTTACCAGCCCTTCCGCCTGTCTGGAAGAGGCAAGAGCCTGAAGCATTTTGGGGGTGCTTTATTAGGTAGTGGGGAGTCAGTCCCTGTGAGCCTTCCTCTGTAGTTATCTCAAATTTCTACCCTTAAACGGCAAAACTTTAAACATTTTTAGTATTCTATGCAGAAATGCTTTTTAAAAATCTACCGTGGTGGGCCGGGGATTTAGCTCAGGGGTTCCACCGCCTGCTTTGAAAGCACAAGGTCCCGAGTTCGATCCCCGGTACACCGTGTGTGTCTGTGCCGGAGCTGAAAGTTCTGACCTCTGTCTAGCAAGCAACTTCACCCCTCGGGAAGTGGGGTTGCGGAGGGATTTGGTGAGGCCGGATGGCACATGCTCTCTGATCGCGCTTGCTCTCTCCTCCGCACGTCAGTTTGCAGCTGCTGGAGCGACAGGTGGTGGGCGGGGAGCAGGCGGAGAACAAGGACCTGAAGGAGAAGCACAGGCGGCGGAAGCGGTACGCAGATGAACGCAAGAAACAGCTGCTGGCCGCGCTGCAGAGCTCGGATGAGGATGTCGGGGATTGGGTGCTGCTCAATGTCTACGACTCCATCCAGGAGGAAGTGAGGGCCAAGAGCAAGCTGTTGGAGAAGATGCAGAGGAAGGTGAGGCCTTGTCCCTCTGCGCCCGGACACGGGCCAGACCCCGCTCCCGGGCAGCGCCACAGCCTGCGGGCGTCCGGGCGGCCCTGCAGGCTCCCCGCGAGCACTTATTAATCACCTGCTGTGTGCCAGGCACTGTTCTGTGGTTAAGGCAGCAGCCGAGCGCTCCGTCCGCGCACCGCTTGGAAGCCGGCTCTCAGGAACGCGAGTCCGTGTGAAGTCGGCTTTGCTCAAGGGCTGGCACCTGGGAAGGTGGGGCGGGAGTTGCCCTCCCCGTAAGCAAAGGTCCTTCATAGGGAGGGACGGGGGCGGGCAGGCTGCGTCCTGAGCGGGGTCGGTGCCATCCGGGCCATGCCTCCCTCTTCCCCTCTGGCTGGAGCGTCACCCCAAGACCCCGACCTCCTGGGCGGGTCACTCATGGATCGCTTTCTGCAAGTTGAACTTCACAGCTGGGATTTAGCGCAGTGGAACCGCCGCCGCTTGTCCTGAGTGAGGACCCGCTCTGCACTAGCTCGCGCTCAGATTTAAAGAGTGAGGAGGGCCGTCACACCTGCTCACGTTTAGCTGAGGGCCGCGGGTGTCTTGGGTTCTGTAAATCAAGAAAGGTTATTTAGAAACGAACTTCGTAATCATGTAGGTATGGAGGATTAGCTTTTTTTTATTATTATTATTGCGATTGAACCCCGGGATTTTGCACTTTAATTTTTAATTTTTTTTTTTCAGACAAGTCTCACTAAGTTGCCAGGCTACTCAGGCAGGGCTTGAATTTATGATCCTCCTGTCTCAGCCTCCAGGGATTATAGTAATGTGCCACCACACCTAGCAGCTCTTTCTTTCCTTTTTGAGACAAGGTCTCACCTGCCTGTTCCAACCAGATTCCTCCTCCAAACCCCAAGTCTGCTGCAGCACCCTTCCACGAGCCCTGCCTCTGAGTGCTGAGCTCTGGGGGGACATCCGGATATGAACCGTCATGGGGTACTGTCAGGAGCTTCAGGGTTAAACAGGAAGAATTAGGGGACAAATGGGGTTCGCATAGTTAAGTCACCCTGTTAAAGGCTGACCTGGTTGGTCATGATCACAGATCTGTTTCTGAGAGGGGGCTCCTCAGAAGCCACTGTCACTGGCGAGGGCAATTTGGCCCCCATCTTGAGATGACTGTTGTTGCTTAGGCTGACAGGCTCAGTTCCTGCCACAGGGCAATTGCTCCTGCTTGGCTACAATATAGGGGATTTGCCTGTGAGGCTTGCTGTTCCTGGAATCTTTTTTTTTGAGACAGGGTCTCACTATGTAGTTGAGACTGACCTGGAACTCCCTGTGTAGCCCAGGCTGGTCTCGAATTCACAGCGATCCTCCTACCCCAGCCTCCTGTGTGCTGGGATTACAGGTGTGCGCCACCACGCCCCAGCCCTGGAATGTTGAAAGCATCTTACTTTGGTGTCTTCAGTCTTGAAGGGGATAGGGGATGAGAGAAGTCAGGTAAATTTAGTGTTAATCAAGTGTTTATACTACCAGTGTTTACACAGACACTTAAACGAGTAACAGGGCTCCATGCAGAGTCCAGCAGAACTCTGCCTCAGAGTTTTAAAGTAGGAAAGGAGGGAGCTGCGAAACGGAGGCACAGAGGCCAAGCTTCCCCCAGGTTTTAGTTGCCTGCTGGACATGCAGGCTCAAGGGAAGAGGCAGGGTTTTAGCAGAAGCAGCCCTAAGTCCTTGGCACATTCCGAACACATTTCAGGAAGGCTGGTGACGTTGTGATGCTTGTAGGTTAGGTGTATTGAAGGCGTTTCCAGTTTTCAGTATTTTAAATTTATGGTGAACTTATTGTCAGTAACCCCTTCATACGTCAGGGAGCACTTGTACAAGGAAAGATGTGGTATGTATGTGTGCCCACTCGCGCATACACACACACACACACAGCCATCCCCTGTTCAGATGAAAGTGGCCGTAACACACTCTATCCCCCAATCCCTTCGTTTTTCACCTAAGAATGGATTCTGCCGACAACTCCATTGCAGTGTAGAGATTTTCTTCTATAGCACCCCATTGTGAGGTTGTATCACTGTCTGTTCAACCGGTCTGCAACTTGACTGTCTACATTTGATTGTAGTGATGTGCATACTCTGGGTGTGTGTGTGTGTGTGTGTGTATGTGTGGAGATGAGTAGATGGGACGACAGGCATCCAGCAACTTGTATATTTTTGGGAGATTTCTTTGGTTTCTACTGCTTCTATCTGGAATCCTGGGATGATTTTTGAGAGATATCTCCAACTTTCTCTCTCTCTCTCTCTGTATCTCTGTCTCTCTCTCTCGAGCTTTATTTTGCACCGGTGTGAGACACCTCTTACAGCCTCACCAACAGAGTCTATTTGAGTAACTCGGGTTTTTGATTTATTAGATGGGAAATAATATCTGAGTAGTTTTGTTGCTGTTGTTGTATTCGGTAGTGGGGCTCGAACTCGGGTCCTCGCACTTGCAAGGTAGGCGCCGTAACCACTGAGCTAAATCCCCAGCCCTCTGAGTAGTTCTGATATGCATTTTTATTATTGTATTGGACATTTTCTCATGTGTTTTGGGGGCCTTTGCAATTGTTTCCCTCAGAGCTATGTTTGCCTCTTTTGCCCACTTTCCTATTAAGGTGGTTGGTCTTTCTGTTCTCTATTTAACTGAGGTTCTTTATATACTGAGGGACATTAATTCCTTGGTCTGTGATATAAGTTGCAGATTTTGCCCCCGATGTTTCAGTTGTGTTTTGCTGTGCTTTGTGGTGTTTTTGCCATATAAAAATTTTTTAAGTTGCCAAATTAATTGGCATTTTTGCACATAGGTTGTGAGTATAATTAAGCAAGTTCACTCATGTTTTCATGCAGAACTTGTATGTTGTTTGGGGAACACTTACATCCCTGGTCCACTCGGAAACCTACCCTGGTGTGAGGGGCTGATTTGCAGTTATCTTTTCTCACATAGCCATCTGTGTATCCTGCGCACCATTTTTCAGAAAGCCCCCTTACTTTCCAATTTCAAGTCCTGCCTTTAGGCCATATTGAATTTCTGAGTGCATCTAGATCTTTTTCTGGATTTTCTATTTACTTCTCTTGCTATCTCTCATACAGGTATGGCAACCACATTGTTTAAAACAGGCTTTATTTTTTTTTTTTTTTTTTTTTTTAACAGGGAGACAGAGTCTCCCTAAGTTGCTAAGTTGCCTAGGCTGGACTAAAACTTGTGATTCTCCTGCCTCAACCACCTGAGTCCCTGAGAGTATTGTCACATGTCCCTGCACTTGACTTTATAATATGTTTTATAATAATAAATGCATACAGTTAATTGTCTCTCAGTGATTTTTTTTTCCCAAGCTTTTCCTGGATATTCTTTCTTATTTGTTTTGTATATGAATTTATAAACAATTGGGTAGCTCAAAAGGAAAAAGAATGAAAGGAAAAAGATGGACTTCTTGAAGGAGTCACATATTTGTAAATAAGCTTGGGAGTATTGATTCTTACATGAGCTTATTTTCTCATCCCCAGGAACATTGTGTATCATTCTGTTGGTTCAAATAAATTTTTGTATCATACACAAGTGTTTTGTAGATTCTCTCATATGTGTTCTGGACCTGTTTTGTTAGTTTAATTTACAGGTATTCTGTTTGCTTTCCTATATGGGGTATATTCTCTTCCATTATATTTTCTTTCTTTTTTTTCTTTTTTTGTACCTGGGATCCAACTCAGGAACTTGTGCTTGCAAGGCGGGAGCCAGAACCACTGAGCTACATCCCCAGCCCCCACTATATTTTCTAACTAGGTTTTGTTTGCAAAATGAAGCTTTTTGGTTTTAAAAAGATATTTAAAATCATTGAGAAATAGAAGAGATTACTTTTCGGTTCATTCGGTGGGGCCAGTATTACCTGGATGCCAAAACCAGACTGAGACCTAAGAAAACTATGGACTAATATTTCTTATGACTACAGATACGAAAAGGCTGCACTCAGTATGAACAAACCAAATCCAACAACACAGAAAAGGGTTACACACCATGCCGAAGTGGGATTCCTAGCAACACAAGGTTGGTTTCGCATTCAAACATCATGTCACTCGCCATGCTAGTAGGATAGAGGACAAACAGCACATAATCATCTGTGTGCGGAAAAGCAATGGGTAGAATTCAGCGTTTGTCATGGTAACAGCACTAAACAAAGTAGGAGTAAAAGGGAAATATGTTGGCTTGATAAAGGGCATCTGTGCGAAACCCACAGCTTTCATCAGACTTAATGTAAAGGACTAAATGCTGGTCCCATTAAGACCAGAATCAGGAAGAAGATGTCCATTCTTATGACTCCTATCTAACACCTGGCTGAGGGGTCTAAACAGGACAGTTGGGCAAGAAAATCAAACAAAAAGCAGCCTGACTGGAAAGGAGATAAAACTCTTCATCTGCAGATACACACATATAGAATAGCCTAAGGGAACCACTTTTTTACAAAAGAGCTGGGAGTTTAGCTCAGTGGTAGAGCATTTGCCTCACATTTCTAAGGCCCTGGTTTCAATCCCCAGCCCTGCAAAAGCAAAACCAATTTAATAAATGAGTTCATCAAGGTTTCATGATGCTAGATCAATAAGAAAAAAATCAGTTTGTGCTTTTCTACACTTGAACAATATACAAATAAAATTTAAAGAACAGTTCTACTTACATAAAAAAATAATAGCACTCCTAGCACTCTAAGAGGCTGAGACAGGAGGATCACCAGTTGGAGCCCAGTCTGGGCAATTTTATGTTTTGGCAAGACCCTGTATCAAATAAAAAATAAGAATTGTCAGGGAGGTAACTCAGGGGAAGATCCTGGGTTCAATCCCTAGTACCACAAAAAACCAAAAAATTGAAATAAAATAAACTATAAGAGTAAATTTAAGGGCTGGGGATTTAGCTCAGTGGTTACACCACCCACCTCACAAGTACAAGGTCCCAAGTTCGATCCCTGGGACCAAAACAAACAAAACAAGAGTAAATATAACTGGGCTGGGGATTTAGCTCAGTGTTCCGCCACCTGCCTTGCAAGTGCAAGGACACGAGTTCAATCCCTAGTACCAAAAAAAAAAAATTAAATAAATAAATTTAACAAAAGAACCATTAAAATTTACATGAGGGCTGGGGATTTAGCTCAGTGGGGCCGCTGCCTGCCTCGCAAGTACAAGGTCCCGAGTTCGATCCCCAGTGCCAAAAATAAATAAATAAATACAAACACAACAAGGACAGTGTGGGGCTGATCAGCCTGGGGCTTTGGAGTACAGAGAAACATCTCGGGTGGCTCCTAGCCCATCATTTTATTGCTGTGTGACTCTGTATGTGTTTCTTAACTGCTGTGAGCCTCTGAGGCAATTGCTTTAGCTGTAAATGGGGATACTGATAATAGGTGGCTGTCTTGTGGGGTTGTTGGGAAGATTCGTTGGGATCGCAAAACGCTCTTGACTCTGCCACTGGCACTTGAGTTCTGGATAAACAGTCATTGGGTCTGCTGGTCTTGCTTATTTGTGGGTGAAAAATCTGAGGGTGGGATACAGCCGTGTGTGTACCTGGGGAGAGGCAGTACTTGTTGACAACTCATGGTCACGCTCATTTCTGCAACTGGAACCAGCCCTGATCATCTCATATCAGTGTCACACAGAGGGAGAGGGGGGAAGGGAAGATGGAAGACCAAGGCCACAGGAAGAAGAGAGATCAGCCACAGGATGGGGAAGGTGGAAGGGTCCCAGGGTCGCACAGCTCAACCACAGAGACAGAGAGCGTGGGGTTTCCTTTTGGGTGATGAAAGTGCTCTAAAATTGATCATGGTGGTGGTCGCATAACTTTGTAGAACCAGAGTGTACCCTTTACATGGGCGAACGGTATGACGTGTGAATTCTACCTCAGTACAGATGGCTGTCCCCAGGGCAGTGGCCTGCGCCTCTTGTCCCAGCTCCTTGGAGGCTGCAGCTGTGGACACACTGAGCGCTCGCCGCACCCGTGTAGACGGATGGGAGGGAGAATGAGGGATGGGCGGGAGGGGCCACGGGCGTCCGAGGGGGACAGCGGGCAGAGGGGCGGCCTGGGCTGGCTGGTGGCTCGCAGAGGCGAGGTGAGAGGACCATGAGCAGGAGATGGTGGCTGCTGGAGGGCATTTTGTGCTCGCTGCTTGTCACCCTCCTGGGCTTTTGTCTTACGACTTTCTTCTCTGCGAGGCACAATACGGACACAAATTAAAGTAGGAGAGTTTTATTTTGGCTCACGTTTCCGCCCATAGTCGGCTGGAACCAAGGCAGGGTGACATGGCGAGGGGCTCGGCAGAGGGGTAGATGGCACACAGGAAGCAGAGGGTCGAGGGAGGAGGGGACATAGGCCCTTCCGGCCACGCCCCCACTGACCCACCTCTTCGGACCAGCGAGCCTGCTGGAAACCAGTGATCAGTCACCTTCCAGCGGCCCCACTCATAGTGCGCGAGACTCCAGCATCTAGAGAGGAGTAACAGCTTTCATTAGTTTTTTGCTTGCAAGTCTTAAACGATTTTGTGTTAGTACGAGTTTGCAGTACACAGCGATCACAGTCATCTTTGGGAGTTGGCGCCTGCGCACGACACCTTGATTCTTTTTACCCCACCCCACCCCCCATGCTCGGTCCCCTTGCTTCCTTGGCTTTCAGCTTCGGGCAGCAGAGGTGGAGATCAGAGACCTGCAGTCAGAGTTTGAGCTGGAGAAGATCGATTACCTGGCCACCATCCGGCGGCAGGAGCGAGACTCCATGCTCCTCCAGCAGCTCCTGGAGCGGGTGCAGCCGCTGATCCGCAGGGACTGCAACTACAGCAACCTGGAGAGGATCCGGCGCGAGGCGAGCTGGGACGAGGACAGCAGCTCCTGGAGGATCGCTGAGCCCGTCACCATAAAAACCAGCCTCCCAGGAGGTCAGGAGCTCGGCTGCCCCTTGCCTCATGTGTCCTCCCCAGTTGCCAGAGGGACGGGGAGCCTGGCCGCTCCCTGCAGGCAGTGTCCTCACCTGACACGGAGGTGAGTCAGGCACCTCTGCAGCTGCTGGGAGGCTCACTGTTCTGAGACACCGAGTGCCTCAGACGGCTGCCTGTGTGCGGCAAGTGTCTCCCTTCCGCTGTCCTATCAGTCATCGCCGTCGCTCTTCCTACTTACAACACCTAGAGACACAGGAGGAAACGGAACCTCACGGGGTGTGACTGCTCACCAAGGCCAGTCACAGAACTGACCTGGAGGACCAGCTGTGCGGGGTTCAGGACTCCGCTTTGGCTGCTGACCTCCTGTGTGACTTTATGGTGATCAGTCCCTTCTCGGGACTTCGGAGACAGAAAGCGTTGGATAAGACGACATTAAAGACCCTGTTGAGGGCCAGGGATTTAGCTCAGTGGTTCCACCTGCCTCACAAGCACAAGGACCCAAGTTTGATCCCCGGTCCCCCCACCTAAGACCCTGATGAGCACCAGGGTCTGTTGAGTCTCTACCTCTGTTGTCTCAGACTAAAGTGAGATCTGTTGTGGATCAGCCTTTAGCCACAGACCTGGCTCTTTACCAGGTGACAAGCTTACACCCTTCCAGGCCCCCAGCAGTCCTGCCTGGTCTGTGTTCCCCCAGGCCCTACATCTCTGACATTTTTGGTGGTCATAATACCACCACGCTGTTGAAACTCCAGCCAGCTCTCTCTCCTGTGAGCCCTGGGCAGCGGCAGCCTCTCTTGTCCCCACGCACCTGCTGTCCTTCCTAGGGAGTGGAGACAGGGTTGGGGCGGCTTCTCTGGCATGGGAGCCCTCCTGCTGTCCGCTTCTCAAGGGTGTCCCTTGGGTGGGCTGGGGAGCGTCCTCCATTTCCAGCCCTGAGCCGGGCCTGACTCGCTCTGGGACGGCGCTGTGGCCCACCTGCACCTCTTGCCCTACACTTCAGCTTCTGTTTTCTCACAGCAGTTCCAACTGGGCCACAGACCAAGCCAGCCCGCAAAACCTCTGCCACAGACAGCAGAGAGCCAAACATGGTAAGGCTCAGAGGCAGGGAGGGGAGCTGGGCAGCTCTCATCCTGCCTGGAGGGTGAAGCAGGGAGCAGCCTGGACCCTGTTCTGTAGGTGGCCCTGGGCCCTCAGCCCACTCTGGCCCTCATTCAAAGGCCCTGGAACTTCCAAGAGCAGAGGAAAGACAGATGCCTTGAAGATAGTGCCTGTCTTCTGGTGACGGAGACTCGCACCTCACACCCAGTCACTGGGTTTCTTAGGTCACTTAATTTTCACATTTTCCATGTCCTGTAGTACATCAGAAATGTGTATCCTTACAGCAGGGGTCAGCAAACCTTTTCTGAAAAGGAACCAATAGTGAATATTTTAGGCCTTATGACCTCTGTCAGAACTATGCACCTCTGCCATTGTAGCACAAAACCAGGAACAGTGAACATGTAAACGAGTGGTACGTGCCAATAAGACTTTACTGACAAAGACAATCTGCAAGCCAGATTTGGCCCTGTGGCCCTAATCTGCTGATCCCTGCCTCTGCCCATCACAGAGGACCCACACAGTGCGCATACTTTACAGAGCCACTCAGTCAGGGAATTCTAGCCGGGCGTCTCTGCCTGAGCAATGCAGGGTGGCTGCAAGCAGTGTCCCGTGCTGCTGTGAAGCTGGACTGGCTGGTCGGATGGCCTCAATTTATAAAAGGGAAAGACGCTGCTGCGAGGGGGGAAAACAATGTTAACCCAGGTCACAAAGGAGTCTGTCAGAATACTTTTAGCTCCAAGTGACAGACACCGAAGCAAGTAACGCAAGCAAAATAGGGTATTCATTGGTTCCTATCATCAGTGTCCCTGTTTCAGGCATGGCTGGATCTGGGGGCTCAGACAGGTGTGTGTGCCTCCTTTGGTATTACGCCAACTTCAAGATGGCCATTGACCGTTGGGATCCGAAAGGAAGAGACACCCTCAGAGCCTGTGGAAAGGTCCTGATGATGCCGCCTGGGTCACGGGTCACTCTCGGACCGATTGTTATGTTCAGGAAGAGGCAGCTCTGTGACTGGCACAGTGTCGGTCACAGGGCGGGACTTGCAGTTCAGGGCACGGGAGTAATCATCGCGCCAGCACCGGTGTCTGGTGCGATGAGGTGGTCCCGAAGCAGGAGGTCCCATTTGAGGGACGCAGTCCGAATAGCCGAGCAAAACAACTAGCCTGGGTAATGGAAAGACCAGGTTCCAGCTGTGTCACACAGGCAGTTGTAAGCTGGGTCACTCGTGCTGTGACTGTGTTGTGGGAGATTTGGGCTGTGCAGCATTACCCATCCTCCTCGGGAATAGGCAGGAGTCCTGGTTACAGAGTGACGCCTGGGATGCTACCCAGAGGTACAGGGTCTATAGCGGTGACTGCTGCAGCTGTCACAGCCTCGGGGTGGCCCCGTGCAGCCCTAGGCCACCAGGATTGTGGAGGTACTGGGCCCCTGGGCAGGGGCTCAGACCAGGGACTTTTCTCATGGGGATCTGGACTCTCAGCAGGAAGAAGACCGCTACAGGTTGATGCTTAGCCGGAGTGACAGTGAAAATATTGCCAGTAACTACTTCCGGTCCAAGCGAGCCAGCCAGATCCTCAGCACAGACCCCATGAAGAGCCTCGGTGAGTGCTCTGTGCACCTGCACTCACCGCCCAGCTGTGTGATGTGGGTTCAACAACTCCACTCCTCTGTGAGCCTCACGTTCCACAGCTATAAAATGAGGGGGTGACGCCTGCTTTTTAGGGTTGCCGAAGAGAAGGCAGGGAGCACCCATATGGAACCGGGTGCAGGTCCTCAGTACGGTTTCTGTTTCCTGTGTTCTCAGGAAGAGCCACCTGTCCTCCCCTACACAAGGGCTTCACTGTGGGTCACATGAGCGGGTCTTACTAGTTTCTAGCTGGCTTCCTCAGACACCAGTATGACAACTGTCCCTAAATGGGATGATGATTTTATTGGCCAAGTACTGCTGAGCTGGGGGTGGGGTGCAGCTGGAAGAGCCTCAGAAGCTTCCCCCCAAAAAAAATCCCAAGACTGAAAACAGTTTAATACTTATGCTTTTAAAACTAAAGGCATGGGCTTGGGATTTAGCTCAGTGGCACCGCGCTTGCCCTGCAATCGCAAGGTCCTGAGTTCAGTCCCTGGTACCAAAAAACAAAAGCAAAACTAAAGGCAGGAGGGCCAGGGATTTAGCTCAGTAGTGCTGCTGCCTGCCTCGAAAGCTCAAGCTGCCTGAGTTTGATCCCCGGTACTAAAAACAACAAAAACTAAAGGCACTATCTTAGTATGGTGGCACACGCCTGCAATCCCAGCATCTGGGAGGCTGAGGCAGAAGGATCACCACAAGTTCAAGACCAGCCTGGGCTACACAGTGAGACCCTGTCTCAAAAGACAAAAACCAACACAAAAACTAAAAGCAAGTTGGGTGTAGTGGTGCACACTTATAATCCCAGCACTTGGGAGGCCGAGGCAGAGAGTTACCAAGAGTTTGAGGCCAGCCTGGGCTACAAAGTGAGTTCCAGGTCAGGCTGAACTACATATTGAGACTGTCTCAACAAACAAAGCAACATCAATAAAAAAACTAAAGGCAAACCCCACAGTTTGTAGTAAAATAGCAATAAAAAGCAACGTTAGCTCTCTATTGAAGCTATCTATGTAAGGGACAGATTGAGAGGACTGAGGAATAAGGAAAGAAGCATCAGCTGAGTGCCTCCCATGATGCCCATGTCATAGACGAGGAAACTGAGGCTCAGAGAGGTGGAGTGACTTTGCCCAAGGTCATGCTGCTAGGAAGTGGGAGACTGGCCTCCGACCCAGGTTTTCCGGTCTCAGGTCCAAGGCTGCTTGAACCCCAGTCCTCTGGGCGGGCCTGAAACCTCAGCCGGAGCAGCCTCAGAGGGGTCCCAGCTGCAGGGCCAGGCTTCCGCCCTGCACACGTGGGGTGTTTCCTCTCCGCCTCTGCTCTCCTGATACCCTCTGCTCTCTTCTCCACAGTGCATCACAGCTCATTGCCAGGCCTCAGCTCCCTGCTCAGCAACAACGCTGCCATCCCGCCCACCCAGGCCCCTGAAATGCCCCAGCCCCGACCCTTCCGCCTTGAGTCCCTTGACATCCCCTTCACCAAGGCCAAGCGTAAGAAAAGCAAAAGCAACTTGGGCAGTGAGGCTCTGTGATGGCAGCTGCCCGCTGCTACCTGCCTTTAGGCTTCTGAACTGCCAGGCCCTCCCAGGCTAGCCCCTATTCAGGCCTCCTCCCTCATCCCCTCAGAGCAACTGGGGCCCAAGAGGGTCTTCACCCCGGGGAAGATACATCCCCTTCCCTGTTCCCCGGAGAGCCCACCTCTGCCCGGGCCTGAGCCCCTGAGAGGCCTGCTCCAGCTGTCCACTCTGCCACCACAGTGGCCTTGGCCTTGATGGGCTCAGCAGCTTCAGGCCTGCAAGCAGGGCTTTCGCCAGCAGCCTTGGTGTTAGCGGGCAGCAGCTGCCACACAGATGAAGCTCCACATCTTGGCGACTGAAATTTGTGCCTCTGTGTAGGTGGCCCTTTCCAGGGCAGCCCAGCCCCGCAGGACAGGCACACGAGTCCTGCAGCAGCCGTTCTGCTCGGCCACTTCTGGCTGGGCTGTGGCCCAAAGAAGGCTGCTGCACATTAAGCTGCCCAATAAACTGCCTTTCAGAAAGAGCTCCCCTTCTCTTCCTCAGTGTCACTGGGGCCCCTTCCTGCTGTCATGGGGACCTTCTCACTAAACAGGCTCTCTACTGCCTAAGGCCTTTGGAACCAGCAGGCTGCAGGGTTTCTGCAGCTCCCCACAGTTGCGAGAACAAGTGCATTGTTTTTTTCTGGGGAGTGTGGGAACTTTCAAAGGGTCTGTGACCCAGGAAAGCAGATCTCTTCTTGGGGGGAAGGTCAGCGCTTAAACGCTTCAAGATCTGACTTGGTCTTCCCAAAAAAGAGAAAATAATAAGTAGCCATTCCAAAGGCACACATGGCCAGGCGTGGTGGCGCACGCCTGTAATCCCAGCGCCCGGGAGGCTGAAGCAGGAGGATCGCTGTGAGCGCGAGACCAGCCTGGGCTACATAGTGAGTTCCAGGTCAATCTCAACTACACAGTGAGACCCTGTCTCCAAAAACCAAAACAACAACAACAACAACAAAGGCACACAAGTAAACGGGGGACTGGACCTCGTTGATTCCTCTTTAGAGCCAAGGAGGGAAAGTGCAAGGCCCGGGTAACGGGCAAGGCTACACATTTTTAATCCACCGCCCCTCAGCAGGAGGCCCCGGGCTGGGCAGAGAGCGGCGAACAGGCTCTTCTAGGGCCCGACCTTGATCTTACTTTCCCACCTCCTTGCTTCCGAGGGGAGTTCGGGAGGTGGGCCTGGTTCCCAGTTCTGAGTCAGCCCTAGACTAGTGAGGTGGTCCGGGGTGGCTCCAGATCCCCGCCAAGAAGCGACAGTTAAATCCTGTGAAGCCAGAGCCCGCCCGAAGAACCGAATTTCTCTCGGAAGCTGGGACAGAATCCTCGCTGGAGCATGGGCGGAGCCAGATGGCACTCGAGCTTGTTGATTGGTCTCGGCTGCGGAGCTGTCTCTCTAGGATTGCTCATTTTCCCTTACGGAGGCAGAGCCTTGAGGCTCTTCCACCAATAGAGTGCAGATAATTAGCCTCCGACCGGGACACTTTCGGCGATGCTCCCCTGCTGCAGACAGCCAAAGCGGCAGCTCTGGATGCCCGGACGCGGTGATCAGAGCACTTCCGGGTGATGATCTCCGGACAAGAGCCGTGATTGGCTAACGTAGGGACACTTCCGGTGTCCTGGTGCTGGTTTCTTTGGCCGGACGAGAACGATGGATCCCTACCCCGTGGCCCGCGCTTGGTTCCTCTTATGGCTGCTGCTGCCCTTGCTTGGCTCAGTCTTCGCCAGCGGTCCCCGCACGCTAGTGTTGCTGGACAACCTCAACCTGCGGGATACGCACTCGCTTTTTTTCCAGAGCCTGAAGGGTAAAAGCGAGGTCCGAAGGGGGGGCGGGTGGGTCTGGTGTTGGAAAGGTTTCCGAGAGCATCACCACTTTCCCACTGTTTTGTAGAGCGGGCCGCGCGGGTCTGGCCACGCCTGGGGTGAGAGTGAGGTCGCGTTATATACAGCAGGGTTTTTCCCTCTGCGTCCCGTCTGCCTCACCCCCGTTTTCTTTTCGTGCAGACCGGGGCTTTGAACTCACCTTCAAGACCGCTGATGATCCCAGCTTGTCTCTAATTAAGTATGGGGAGTTCCTGTATGATAATCTCATCATCTTCTCACCCTCCGTAGAAGGTAAAGACTTCGTGTTTTTCCCAGCGCCGGGAGTCGATGCATTGCTTTAATCTGGTTCTTGGGCATGTTTGGGGTCCGGGGATTGGTTGCCAGCTCTTGGCACTGCGGCTGCCAGAGAAGAAGAAAATGTTAATTTCTAATCTGGGTTCAGGAGGGGACCATTTTTCTACAAGACACTCCCGGAATCCTGAGGTCGCCTGTTAGACCGTGAAACTCAGGGCCCTGCTGCTTTACCGAGAAGGGTTTTTTTTTCTCTGCAAAGGGTTTGATAGGTGAAGAGCCCTTAGTAGGGTTTTACTGTGTGGAAAGGGGACTTGGTGTGTTATTAGTGTGAATTAAAGAGGTACTGTGTAGTGTGGTTGAGTTTTAAGAATTCAGATAGATACATAGTCTCCAGCTGAAAAAGAGCCTTAGCAATTAACACCACTCCCCGTCCCGCCCCCTCCCCTGTTTGCGGTTGGATGATTCTGTCCAGAAGCCTAGCAGAGGGCTGATTGTTAAATACAAGGAATACCTTCATGGTATCATCTAATATTACTATGTTATGAGGCAATCCACTCCACCAGTGGACAGTCCTGCTGTTATTAGAGTGACAAATTTCTCCTTTCTGCTTTATTTTGGATGGTGATATTCTTACACTCCCCAGGGCCTTAGAGAACAAGTCTGATGCTTGCTGAGATCATTGCTTTACAGAGTCATATTCTACTCAGGTCTTCTTTCTTTCCTTTCTTTAGTATCGGGGATTGAACACAGGGCCTTTGCATTGACCTCCATCCCCAGCCCTTTTTAAAATTTTGAAACTGAGTCTCAGTCACTAGGTTGCCCAGGGGGGGCAATCCTCTTGACTCAGCCTCTCAGAGTGCTGGGATGACAGGCATGCACAACCACTCCTGGCTTGAGTGTTTCTTCTGACTGAATATCAATATGCCCGGTTGCTCTTGAGTATTTCCTGCTTTTGTCATGGTTTTTGGGTGAACATGCCTGTCCTTCTCTTATTGCTCTGTGTATCTTTTTCTCATAGGACTCAGGTTGCCCCTCTCTAGATAGGACGTCCCTGCCACCCTTCCCTCCAGTTGATGAAGCTTAGGAAATCTTTCTCTTTGTTGGCAGCTACGCTTATTTTCTGTAGCTTTTGTGAGATTGGGTACTGCCAGAGGCCTGAAATATTTTTTCCAAGCTCCTGTCACTTTTCCCAACTGCTCTGCACCATGTGGCTTTGGAATTGATTTTTGGAGGCAAAAGCAGTTGGGCAAATGTGACCCCAGACCGGATTGAAGTTAAAATCTCTAAATGACTGGGCAGGTGGAGCCTTCTGCAGAATGATCATTATATGTTGAGGTTTTGGGAGCCTAGAAGAGACGATCTGGTGGATGGGAAGATCGTAGGGATAGAGCACCTGCCCTTGAAGGAGTAAAAACAGAAGACTGGAAGCGAGTTACCAGGCCCTGTGTTGGGTTATTAGAGGATGTGGGGGAACCACCCGAGGTGTGCTTCTGGAGGTAGATCGGGAAGGAAAGGAACAGTGAAATCACAGAGATTGGGAGAAGGTCAGGTGAGGCTGGTGGTGGTGGGAGAAATGTAAGAGGGCCTAAAACAGGATTTTCCATGTTAGAAGTTGGTGATTTGCATATTGCCTTCAGAGCTTTACCCCTAGCCCTTCAAAGCAGCCCCTTTGACGTTCTTTGTGGTGGATGCTGTCCTGGGCACTGTAGGGTGTTGAGCAGCATCGCAGGCCTCTGCCCACAGATGTCACTAGCTACTTCCCAACATGATGACACCGAAGATGTCTCCAGACAGGGTCCTCCAGGGCCACATGGCCCCAGGTAGAAAGCTGCTGTGCTGTGCCAAGAAGCTGTTTTTGACTTAAGCGTGCTGGCTTCTTTCTAGATGTGCTAAGAATGCAGAGCCCCCAGAGCAGGGCACTCTTTACACCTGAAGTGCTGAAGTGTTTATTCCTGAAGACCCAGAAAGGGGCTGCTCACCTCTGCACATCTTCGCAGGGTCACGTTGCTTCCTGTCTGCCTGTGCTGTGCTTGTCTAATGGGCCGGCTTCTCTGTGTGGTCTTCCCCGGGCGTGGGCCAGACTCTTCGTAAAGCCTCTCTTTTGGTCACTGCCACATCCAGTCTGTCCCCACAGCTGAGGGAAGGCCCTCGCTCCTGTGTGGCCTGGGAGCCCTCTTCCCAGCGGCTTTTCAAACTGCTTCTGCCCTGTCCCCCAGGCCCACCCTTTAAAGACATAACCAAGTTATGTCAGCCTCTCGCTCGCTCGCTCGCTCGCGATCTCTGGTGTCTCCCCTCTGCCCAAGCCCTCTCGTGCCTCGTCGCGAAGCCTTCTGTTCTCATCTCACCGGTCTGCATCTCCAGCCCAGCCGCTCTGCGCTCCCTGCTGGGGAGCGTGGTCCCTGCCTGGTGTTGTCCCCTCTGTCCGGAGTCCCTGCCTGGTTCGCTCTCATGTTGGAGGCCCTCCCTCAGCAAGTTTGGGCAATAGCCCCTCTCCCATTGTCTTTTATTTTCCTTCTCAGGACAGAAATTCTTAGCTGTTAACAAACAAATGAATTGCTGAGCATGCTCTTCGTTACCTTATGCTGAACATTAGAGTTCACTTTGGGAAAGATTTTTGAAGCTAAATGAACCTCCTGGTTTTGCATTTGGAGGCTTTGGTGATGGTCGCCTGACCAGACTGACTAAAAGAGACGTGATCTCATAGTTGCAAAGGTTGGAAGTGAATGAGCCTTTCTGGGAATTGTGTTGAAAAAAGCAGTATGAGTGGTAGCGTGGATATGAATCTGTATGGTTATGGGAGGGAAAAAAACCTATGAATGACAGGCCAGTGACAGTGTTGTCCACAGACTCAGGTGTATTTTTTCAAACAGCTTAGATGAAGTGAAATCAGTAGGTTCTGAGTGAGCCGGGCAGGTCTCCAGTGAGGGCAAAGACACCGATGTTAAATGTACAGGTGGCATTTGAGTAACATCGTCCCAGGGAATGTGAGTGACACATGTAGCTTTTCTAAGTGAGTGCGTTATACGTGGCCTGAAATCTGCAGTCCTGTGCACTGATACGTGACCTGAAATACGTGACAAAGGGAATCGGCGCGTTTGACTGGCTCATAAACCTCTCTGAAAGTTCATGAATCTGAGCCATTACCTTGAATCGCGACTCTGGGAAAATGGGGGCTGCCCTTCATCTGATGTGGTCTGCTGAGCTCCCTCCTCTTCGCTTGGGTGTGCAGGGGTTCCACTCTCATTGGCTGTGACCAGCCTGCAGGGTCCCCCCACACCCCCAGTGCCAGCAGTGAGAGGCTACCTTCTGCTTACTGTCTGGTGCCTTCTTACAGATTTTGGAGGCAACATCAATGTGGAGACCATCAGTGCCTTTATTGACGGTGGAGGCAGTGTCCTGGTGGCTGCCAGCTCAGACATTGGTAAGTCTGGCCTAGGGAATTTTGGTGCTTCCTGGCATCTTCCCAGGGAGCCTGCGGAGGTTTATAGATGGAACTGTCATAAATTGTCATTTGCTGGGTGGGCCCTGGCCAGGACATCAGCGAGGGAGCTGCTGGGCCATTTGGCATTCGATCCCACCTGTGACCCTTTCCTATGACCAGAGACAATGCGATACAGGTCTTCGAAGGGCTGGAAACCCTGGCTGGGTGTTTTTCATTGTTTTGTTTTGTTGGCTCTTCCCTTCCAGGAAGATGGCAAGTCAGGGGAACCCAAAGCATTCAACAGATCTTTATTTTGTTACCTATTTTGGAGAATTTCAGAGATACTCGGAAGTAGGTAGGGAGTTGTGTCCTTGGCCCCATTATGCTGATCACCCATCTTCAACAGTGAACACTTGGCCAGTCTGGTTTCATGTTTCTCAGTATTGATAGTTTTAAAGCCACTTTCCTTGTAATGGACTGGAGCAAGCCAGGCTCACCAGGTTGGGTCTGGCTGAGGTGGTGCCTTGCTTCAGAGGGACTGTGCTGCAGCAGGTGATTGTGTATTACGGAGGGAGGGGCCCAGGCTGCAGTCTCATCGATTCGGATTCTGAGCCTGACATTTCTACCTAAATGGGTGACCTCGAGACCGCACTCTTTGGTACCCGGAGTTGAACTCAGGACCTTCCACTTGCCAGGCAGGCACAGCACCACTGAGCTACATCACCGGCCTTGAGATTTTACTCTTTAAGTGAAATAAATCGGACACACGTTTAAATACGTTCTCTAGTGTGAGAAACTGGAAGTGGAAATAAGGACTGAAATGTATGCTAGATATTGGGAAATGGTTAGAAAATTTCAAATGAGAAAGGGGAAAAGGGAGGAAGGAAAGAAGGGACAAGAAGAAAAAGTACAAGGAAAAGATGGAAAAGCTTTTGTACACGGGGAGGGGAGGGAGCTTGAGTGGAGGGGGAAAAAGAAGAGGCAGGATGTGTCATACAGGTGCAAATTCCTACAGTGAGGCTTAGCATTATAGATGCCTAAAATGTACCAATAAATGTTTGTCTATAAAAAATAAAACAAATCCAGATTCTGAGCCTGATAAAGGTGCATGGTGTGGGCTGATGGGAGCCACAGGGAGCTGTGGCCCTGCTTGGCCTGGCCCACCCATCAGGGCTCCGCTAGGCATCTGCTGGGTCTGTGCAGGTGACCCTCTTCGAGAGCTAGGCAGTGAGTGTGGGATCGAATTCGATGAGGAGAGAACGGCTGTCATCGACCACCACAACTATGACGTCTCGGACCTTGGCCAGGTAACGCGGCCCGTCACCTTGAGGGTTTCTGGTCTGTGCAGCAGAGCTCAGCTTAGCCTGGAGGCCCAGAGAGAGCCAGGAGGAGCTCCTTGACCCAGGGAACCTCTTCCCACCCCTTTCCCTCTGCTTCCTGCAGCATACACTCGTTGTGGCCGATACCGAGAACCTGCTGAAAGCCCCGACCATTGTTGGGAAATCAGCTCTAAATCCGATCCTCTTCCGAGGAGTTGGGTGAGTGAGCAGGAAGAGGCCAGCAGAAACCCAGGGGAAGAAGGGGCCACTAAGCCATATTTAGGGTTATTGAGGGGCACTCCTTCTCCCAGAGGGTGGGGGTGGGTTGATTTGTTACAGCAAGAGATCTAAGTGTTTGCTACTAAGAAAAGGATTTACCCCTGGGAAGAAATGGCCCTCAGCCGTCCCACGCCCTTTGGGCTCAGCCCTGGATCAGTGCTGGGCTGCCATGACCCCCTGCAGGATGGTGGCCGACCCTGACAACCCCTTGGTACTGGACATCCTGACGGGCTCGTCCACCTCGTACTCCTTCTTCCCGGATAAGCCCATCACTCAGGTAAGGGCCTCTGTGGTCTTCAGCTCTAGCTCTGAGCTCCAGGCAAAGCGCTTTTTTATTTGAAAGGAAGAAGGAAGAGGAAGCACTTTGCTGAGGCTGATGAAGGGGCCAGGTGGGAGGAACGGGCACATGGGCAGCAGCGGTGTGTGGGGACACTTAGGTGTCCCGCCTGCTATCCCCTTGCTCTGATGGCCTCGCCTATTTGGGCACTGCCTGGGTGACCCCTCTGTTTCAGTACCCCCATGCTGTGGGGAAGAACACCCTCCTCATCGCTGGGCTCCAGGCCAGGAACAACGCCCGAGTCATCTTCAGCGGCTCCCTGGACTTCTTCAGTGATGCCTTCTTCAACTCAGCAGTGCAGAAGGCCACGCCTGGCGCCCAGAGGTGGGCATGGGGGTGGAGGAAGGCCCTGGGTGCGTGGTCCGGGAGGTGCATTCTGTGTATAGGGGGAGGAAAGAGCTTTGTAGCTACAAGTGGCAGAGGCTGCCTGCCTTTGGGACTTTGAAATTATGTGAGGTGACCTTGTTGCTGTATTGCTGGTGTTGGCACAGCAGGCTTTCCAAGGTAGTCATGATGGATCTAGAGGCCCCGGTCCTCACCACTCCTTTTAGAAAATTGTGACTTACTTAGAACTCCACTGGCCTTGTTACCACTCCGTGCCCCCTTTGACCGTGGACACTACATGCATGGGGCCTACCACAGACCTTGCTTATTTCGGTCAGGCACCCCCTGGAAGAGGCTGGCTCGGGAGCCCTGGCCTCCTTTTCTCTCCTGCAGGTATCCACAGACAGGCAACTATGAGCTAGCCGTGGCCCTCTCCCGCTGGGTATTCAAGGAGGAGGGTGTCCTCCGTGTGGGGCCCGTGTCCCATCATCGAGTGGGTGAGACAGCGCCACCCAATGCCTACACTGTCACCGACCTAGTGGTAAGAGCTCTTGGGGCGGGAGGGCCCCAAGGTTTTGGCCAAGTTGAATCAGTTCAGCTCAAAATTATTTATCAAGTGTTTCAGGCCAGGAAGTAGGGAACAGGAAAGGGAGTAAAGGAGGATCAGTGAAGTTTACCTGCATCCCAAAGTCGGTCATTTCAGATGCAGAGCCTGGCAGTATACTTCCATCCTAACTGAAGACTCTCTGAAGAGCTGTCGTTATGGGAGTGCAGCTGCTTGGCTCAGATTGTGCCGCTTAACCCTGCACAGGAAGTGGGATTTTTGAGGAAAATTGCCATTTCAGTTGGGTCTTAAGGATGGATCTGTCAGGCAAAGCAGCAGGGAACTTGGACATCCATTGCCTGCCAGTGCCTGGCTTATCTGGGGACACAGGCTTTGGGCTGTGGATTCTGTGTGGAGGATCTTGGAGCACGATGAGGCAGGGGTGCCAAGGGCCTGATGGGCACTGTGCTCGGGATGCAGGGTGGGAATTAAAAGGCACCGTGGCGCCCCTGCAGCCACTGTCACCCTGGCTGACCTAGTCTTCTGTCTCAGGAGTACAGCATCGTGATTGAGCAGCTCTCCAATGGCAGGTGGGTCCCCTTTGATGGCGACGACATTCAGCTGGAGTTTGTCCGCATTGATCCTTTTGTTCGGACCTTCTTGAAGAGGAAAGGTAAATGTGATTCCTGCCAGAGCAGGCCTGGGGGTGGGGGCGGCCTGTGCCCCCAGTTGCTCCCGTGAGGCCTGGCTGAGAAGCACCTGGAAGACCCTCCTGGTGATGTGTTGCTTCTCCCCCAGGTGGCAAGTACAGTGTCCAGTTCAAGTTGCCTGACGTGTATGGCGTCTTCCAGTTCAAAGTGGACTACAACCGGCTTGGCTACACACACCTGTACTCTTCCACTCAGGTGAGTGGGCCATCCCTGTCGTCAGCAGGTGCCCTGCTCGGCTCTCCCGGGGGCTGGGCCTGCCACTTCTGTCCCGTTGCAGGTGTCAGTGAGGCCGCTACAGCACACCCAGTATGAGCGCTTCATCCCCTCAGCCTATCCCTACTATGCCAGCGCCTTCTCCATGATGGTGGGGCTCTTCATCTTCAGCATCGTTTTCTTACACATGAAGGAGAAGGAGAAGTCAGACTAAAGGCGGGGGACCCGGGACTCCAAACAGCAGGGAGGCAAGAGGATTTTTATGTGGGGTGTGCGTTGAGCGTCGTTTTTGTTATTAAAGCCATGGGAAAATGGCACAGCCTCACCTCAGCAGGAGACGCAGTGTTGAGTACCAAGGGGTGGGGGTCAGGGAATCATTTTTATTAAGTTTTTCCACCGTGACTTGCTACATGGCATTTGTAATAAGTGCAGTCACTCCCATTTCTAAAATAAAGAGAAACGTTGCCCTCACACCACAGCTTGACCCTGTCGTGCTCTGCTGCTGCTAGGATTGCTGTTCAGCCATAGAAGTGGCTGATGTGCCCTGTGCCAAAGACTGGGCTGTCCTGCTGAAAGGAAAGCACATCCTGACTTCACAAGGGCTAAGGTAGATTTGTGAATTCACTGAGGGGAGTGGGGAAGTAGTGAAATGGAAACTTTAGAATAACAGCTCTGGGCTAACAGAACTGCTGGGTTGGAAAAAACCTCCAAAGTTTAAGGTTACCTTGCTTTAGGTGATAGCTCTGTTCTTGAAAAGCATTTGTAAAATGCTCCTGTGTTGACATCTGCCTGTGAAATTTTCTGATCTTCGGGGTATAAGAATCATTCAGTCAGATGCTTAGTTTAGCACTTAATGTATTCTGCATTGTAAGCTTAATGTCTCACAATTCATGTAAGAAATGTTCATCCAGTGGTAAATCAACGAGTTTAAGATTCCACATTGTTAATTTCCAGCCTCCCTCCCGGTACTGGGGAATCGAACTCGGGCCCTTGCGCTTTGAGGCAGGTGCTGGAACCGCTGAGCCAAATCCCCAACCCTCCCGCCCATCATGTTAACTGAGCCAGGTAATTTGGTAGTACACTGGGGAGGCTTTCTCAGGTGCGTCCTATTAGTATGCAGATTTGCCTGCTCCCGGCCTTACTTTGATGGTTTTTCTTGCTGAAGCCTGAACGTACTGACCCGCACAAAGGTTTGCCACAGCCCAGGAGGCCCATGCTAACCTGGTCCCGTGGTGCTAGGGGAATATGTTAGAGCCTCCATCACCCACAGCCGCTGCCTTGGCTTAGATCCTTTCGGATGCGGGCACAGGTCCAAGCCCCTCAGCCCAGCTCCTCTAAGATCAGCTGGCCGTTCACTCTGGGAGATCCGTGAGGACAGATCTGGTGGTCGGCAGTGCCCAGTGTAACTTCTCCCTGGTGCAGAGAACTGTTACCTTTCGTGATGATAAAGACACCTAGTCATCAGTCAGCATTAATTTTTTTGAGTTAAGCCTTGTGAACATGTCTAGACCAGGGGATGGCTATCCGGTCACCAAGTGTAAAGGTTATGCTTCTTTGTGGTTGAAAAAATGAAAAGAATTTGGGGACACATGAAAATCAAATTTCAGGGTCCATAAAGGAAGCCTTGCTGGGACACGGCCATGCTCCTTTGTTTACAAAGGCTGCTTCTGTGCCTCAGTGAGAGTTGAGTAGCTGTAACAACTTAATGTACTATCTGGCTCTCGTGGAGGTGCCAATGCCTCATTTAGACCAGCGTCTTGATTTCACAGATAGGACAGCGTAAGTCCACGCAGGTTATGGGACACCCCACAGCTGCAGTCAGTGACTACAGACTAAAGTTTGACTCAGTTCCTCCCGTTTGCCAAACCTGAGGCCTTCTCTGGCCGACCAGCCCCTGCACCAGCTTCTGACTCACGCGCACTCTCGCAGCTAAGCCCCACCCTTGGCACTCACACCATCGGCACACAGATGCTACCAAGTTTAGTAACGCGCAGCTGTGCAGTCAGGGAGCTGCCCGCCAGGAGCAGAGGAGGAGGGCCGCCTGGCAGAGGGCCTCGTACTCCAGGTTAGCCAGGAACAAAGTCTTCAGCCTCGTTTCCACACAGCTCTGCTCTGTCAGCCTGTCAGCGAGCAGAGCAGCAGCTGACTGCCGGAGGAGCCAGCCGATCATCTTGTCTAATTTCACATTCTTCAGGGCTAGAATGTCTTCACCCCACAGGCTTAGATGAAGCACATTTGCAGACACTCGGGCAGATGGTCTCTGCAACAAGAAGGGAAACTGAGGCAGCTGGCCGAGCACTCAGCCCACACCTGCTCCGTCAGTGCATCACCCTCGGCCTTCCCAGTCCAATGCTTCCATCCTCTGCCCCCACCAGGCTTGAGCTTTCCCACCTGCACCGCTGTGCGTGGGGGCAAAAGCACGGCTGGAAGACCCCGTTGGAGAGGGCTGTGTGCCTGGTGTGGCTCTGCCGGCCGTCATTCACCACTTCCTGACGATGCAGTGCCATTCTACAGGCGTCCACCGTGACCCGGAAGGAGGCGTGCAGCGTGAGCGCATCAGTAAACGGTGACATAGTTGGCGGCCAGGCTGCCTCAGCTGTTTCTGCTCAACAGCACTTGGACGGACCTGCTACTCCCGTTACGGCTTCACGCAGCTCTGCCCTTACGTTAATCTCAGAGTGGCCAGGTCTGCTCTCTGGAGAGGTTCTCCTACCTATTAGATCTCAGCTGTTTACATCACTATCAGAAATACCTCAGAAATGCAACATTTCCCCGGCATAACTTTCTAAGCAACTAGGAAAGCCAAGGAATGGACTGTTGGAATTCTGACTAGTGGTTCGGTGACCGGCTCCTTTGCTCCCTCCCATGCTACCTACGGTTTCTATACAAGTGTTCCCGAGACTCGAGTACTGAGGTGCTGACCTCAATGGCAGATTAACCCACTGCGGAGCGCACAGCTGAATATGCTGTCAGCCGGCAGGGCCTGTGTGGAGGAAGGGGGGTCCCTGGGGGCGTCCTTTTGAAAGGTATCTTCTCTGGCTCTGTCCAGCTCCGCTTCCTGCGGCCATGGGCTGAACTTTCCTCCTCTATGCCCTTCTGCCATGGCGTTCCTATACCTTGGATCCAGCTGACCACGGGCTGAAACTCAGAAACCATGAGCCAAATCAACCTTTTCTCCTTAAAACTGTCTGTCAGGTATTTGGTCCCAGCCAGCAGAAAGGAGCCTGACACTTGGGTTCACACTCACCTCACGCCACTTTTCCTGTGAGGATCTGCCCTGTGTAGGACAGGCGCTCTGCCAGCCACTGCAGCCCTTCCCAAACCCGACCTCCACTCTGAGACGTGAACACAGTGACGTCTGCCCTCCACACACTGCCTCCAAAGCCCGGGAGCAGCCTCACCTTGCTGGCCTCTCGCTGGAGCAGGGACCTCACCAGCTGTCTCATGTCTAGAGGCACCGACTCGGGCAGTGCGGGCAGCTGAGCTTCTTGGTAATTGCGGCTTTCCAGGTAGGTGCTGCCTTGACCGTAAAAGGGATTAGTGAGCCCGAAGATTTCGTAAGCGATCGTTCCTACTGCCCAGGCATCGGCCTTGCTGTAGTCAATCACGGCCCTGGGGCCAGGACAGGCTGTGGATACCTGCTCGGGAAGCAGAGGGTGAGACTCACATGCTGGCAATCTACAGATCACGGTCCTGTGTGTCACCTGAGCCAGGGACCCGAGTGGGCTGCGACTCAGACCCTGAAGGACCTGCCTGAGGCTGCCCGAAAAACCCATCTCCTGGAACATTAGGGAGACCCGGGTTGAAGCAAAGCGACAGGGAAGAAGCCACATATCAGTCCCTTCACCGTGTGAGATGGAGGGAGTGTTTCTGTTGGTGGAGGATGCACAGAGGGACTCACCTCAGGAGCCATCAGGCTGCCGTTCCCACCCCGATCCACATACCAGCTGGGGAAAGGCAACTGCAGGCCGATGTTCTCATCAGCCAGGCAGCATCCAAAATCGGAGATCACAAGCCAGGGGCAGCCGTCTAAAAAGGAGGGGGCAGAGGTAAGCACAGTCTCCACCTTCCCTCTGACTGGCTGCCTGGGTCTCTCCGGAAACCACCACCCGTCCAGGGTTAGCTGGGCTCACAGGATCTGTGTTGGTCCAGGAGTGCAGGCCAGAAAGGCCTGGGTGGGACTCTGCTTGCTAGAAAGCTGAACAGGAGGGCCAATGGCAGGGGTGCAGAAGCGCCTCAGGGAAGAAACGCCTTGGGCAAAGGGCTGGATAAAACTCTGGCTCCACCTAAATAATTTTCTAGTAACCACATCTATCCCAGTAAAGGAGCTGGTGTTTGGCTCAGATGATCTCTAAGGACACTTACATTCCAGCTACCTTGGATTTGAATTCAAAACCCCAATAAACCTAAGAAACAGCTACATTAGGAAGTAGTTGTTTGTAAAAGGATTCACACAGCTTCTCCAGAAAGCCAGGCTGGGGATTTAGCTCAGTGGCACCACGCCTGCCAGGCAAGTGCAAGGTCCTGAGTTTGATCCCTGGTACCGAAACAAAACAAGAATAAAAAGCCAATTCCTCTAGTCATTTAATTGCACATTTAATTATTTTAAAATCTCTGTGGTTTAGGGATTCACCATATGTATGAATCACTTTAACAGTACTCCGGGCAGGTGGCCTCTGCTCGAATGCTCCCAGTGGGGGAGTCATTATTTCCAGAGGAAGCATTTGGACAGCTTTCACTGCTTGAAAATTATTTCTTATTGAGCTAAAGTCTACCTCTTTTTATTCAAGAAAAATTGCAGCACAAGGCTCTTGATCTGTAACGGCAACAGAGAGGAACTTAGGCACTGTTACAGCATGGCCATCTGTCCCCCGAGATCTCTTGTGTACAGAGCTAAAGGAAGACACGATGACAGGAAAGCAAGAAAGGCCCAGAGCTTCCCTCTGTGCTCCCTGGAGAGCTGGGAGGGGCGTGGGTACCTACCCGAATCCAGCTCCACCAGGATGTTGTCAGACTTGAGGTCTCTGTGAGCAATGCCCTGCTGAACCAGATGGTCCACGCCTTCCAACAGCTGCAGGGTCATCACAGTGGCCAGGCGGGGACTTGGAGTGTTCACGTGAAGGTACTGGCGCAGGGTGCAGGGGTAGCTGGGAGGAGACGAGCCTCTGGCTATCATGCAGCCAGATCCCTAGCATCTGATCCTTTCCTCTTTGCCTTCCTGTGGCTTCTGGATTTCTTTTCCCCTCTATATCCTTTCTGTTGCCACCCAACCACCATCCCAAAGCAAAGGAGTCAGAGCTGAGGCTCCAGAGGTTCAAGGTAACAGTATAGCCACCTGCTTCCTCAAACACCCCGTGCAGCAGAGATCAGCGGTTCCAGGGGTGAGCAAGGAGGAGCATCTCTTTGGGCAGCGCAAGCCACAGAGAAAGGGGAGCAGGCCAGTGTTCCCAGAGCACTGGGTGGAGAGCGTGCTCTGGAGGGAGAGGAGTTGTGTTTTCCGGAGAACACACCCGAAAGGGAAAGTGCTCTCCATCTAGGGCAGTGCACACCTGCTGCCTGGTCTGTTCCTCCTGGAAGCCGCGGCAGCACTGCAGGGACAGGGAAGCTCCCACTGAGGAAGCGAAGCAGCCCCCGGGCCTGCCACACCCCGCCACTTACTTCTTCATGACGAGGAACAGCGTGCGTCCGTGGCCCAGGCCTTTCGGGTGGAGACGAGGGGGCAGCACATCGGGGTAGTCATCAAGGGCCCCCGGCAGCAGCGGCACGGAGGAGGTGAAGGCACGGAAAACTCGGATGACGTTGGGGTGCGGGGCAAGCTGCTTGGGACCTCCCTTGGATTTTCTGTTTGGTCAAATGGGACAAATGTGTGAGGCCAGCATCGGAGACACCAGCTGGGAGGAATCTGTGGCCACAACGAATACCTGCACTCATTTACCAAATATTTACCACTGGTGAGCTACTCTGGTATTACGGGGCTGGGGACAAAAATCCAGTGAGGATCATGCCCCTTTGGCTTCTGTCTAGATATCCCCTCAAAGCCTCACGCAGGTGGGGCGGGGCTTTTTCAGTGTGGTGCTGGGATGGAGGGCGTTTGGTTTCTAAACCACTACACCGAGTGACTGTTTGGTACCACTTGGTAGTGTGAATAAAATAAAAGGGGCAGAAAGACACCGTTAAAGTCCCTTGTCACCTTTGCCATTGTTTGCTGCCGTGTAATGTCGCCCCTCTGCCACGTGCCACCCTGCCTTGTGGCCAGCCAACTGTGGACTGAAACCTCTATACACTGTGAGCTAAATAAACCTTTCCTCCTTTAACTTCGGGTGTCAGGTATTTTGTCTCAGCAATGAGAGAAAGGTAACACACCCTACTCCATCCTCCAGCCCATTTGTCCATCCATCCATTCCTCCCCTCTCCTTCCCAAACACTCTCCTGGCAAAACACAGTGGTCAAGGGACTCTGTGGCAGGCTGGCTTTGAATTCCAGGTCCCCCACTGTGAGTTCTTGGCCAAGTCACTCATCTTCTCTGGGCTCAGTGCCAAGTGCCAAAGGGCATAAGGCAGGGGCATACTGCATAAGGCTGTAGTCATGTCAAGTACCTAGGATCGTGGTCAGGAGAGTAAGCACTCAGCAAAGATTGGCTGTCACTACTCCTGACTCAACTAACATTTATTATTACCACACTAGGTACTGGACACTGTGCTACCATGCTGTGAGCCCAGCAGACAACAGGCCAGAGTCCTGTCCTCGTGGGTTTGCAGTCTAACAGGAGAGGGGCACTCACTAAGTAATAAGGACAGGGATCCTGCTTACATCGTCTCTAGCGTCATCTTTGGTGAATGCAGAAATGGATACCCGCAGTTAGCAGCTGTGAGGCCATCTATTTGTCCTGGCCTCTCCTCCTCCCAGAAGCCCGCAAACCCTTGGAGGCACACTGGCCCCGCATCTCAACCAAAGCTGACAGGACCAAGAGTGGGGCACCTGTACCAAGGGCAATGTGCCTACTGACAGCCAGTGGGAAAGGGGACAGGGCAGGCAGAGTCTCTCTTAGGGGTACGGGAAAGAAGCCTGCCGTTAGCAATGGAGCTGAGGTGGGAGAACACCCCAGGCCACAGAAAGCCAGAAAGGTGCAAGCCAAAGGTCGACAGCAACAACCAGCCACGGGAGAAAAATGAGATGCCAGATGGTACAGAGAGACCAGAGCAGGGCCCAGTCCACACGGCTCTTGTCTGCTCCTTCTGTGTCACTCTGGGGTGCTCCTGCTCCATGCAGCATGGGTCCTGCCACTGGGCAGGAGGGAGAATCAGAACACAGTGAGGTTGCCCGGCCTGGGCAGATGTCACGGGATCGTGGAGGCAGAGCTGGGGCTGTGCCGGGGGTGTGTGGGGCGTCTGAACTGAGTGCACAGCTCAGGAGCCTGCTCCACTGGGGAAGGCGCTGTGGGAGTCCCTACGTGGAGGGCAGCGCACAGATGGGGAAGGGCAGAAATAAGGCGGGAGAAGCAGGGAGGGGAGCAGACCGGAGGCTCTGCATCCTAGGCCCCTCAGAGCAAGGCCGGGTGGGCTGCCCAGAGAGGTCTCAGGGAAGAGAGCCTCCTAAGACCCAGCAGGGCTTCAGCTCACACCCCTGCCCCAGCCACCCAGTCACCCCAACAGGCCCTGACAGAAGTGGGGCACACAAGCAAATGCCAGGACAACACCTAAAGGGAGGAACAGGGACTGTTTCAGACACCAGGCTAATGCTGCCAGCCTAGAAGGCGCCACCTGTGGCTCCTCTGAGCCCTAGCAGCCAAAAGATGCTCAGGAGTGTGCTTTGCTCTCCAGAGTTCAGAAGTGGCGAGGACTGCAGTTCTAAAGCACCCCAGCAGCCGCTCCCTTGACTGCAGCCTCCCAGGCTAGGAGGATTTCTATGTGGGATCACTAAGTTTCCAGTTCTGTCTCCTTGTTTTTGACAGAGCTAACATCTATAGAGCAGCCCTCCAAAAATCACCAGAATTGCAGCACCCGCTCTACCATGGGGTTCAAGTGCTAAGGGGAGCACGAGTGTCTCCTGTGTCACCAGCAAGTGTCAGGTGTCACCACCTGTAGATTTAGGACCTGAAGGGTGGCTGCCGTCCGTGTGTTCCTCCCTCTGCTGCGGGTCCTCCCGCACCTAGGTAATGGCTGTCATCCCTGCAAGGCAGCATCAACTGTCCTTCTGACAGGCCTTCCCAAGGGCCCTTCCTCCTCCTCGGGGCTCCCTCAGCACCGTGCCCTGGCCTCTGCCCTCTTCCCGAGGGGCTCTGCTGCCACTCTTGGGGAACAGACTTATTACACAGCTCGGCACCAGCAGGGGCCTTGGATCTCGGTGGAGGGCTCCGTCCCATGGTGTCAGCGCTCATTTGTACCACCAGGTGGCACTGCATCTGCGCACTGCTTCACAAAAACCAGGGACCTCTTTTCCAGCCTTCTCAATTGGGCAGGACCTCTCCTCCTGCTGTGTGAATCAGCGGTCTGTGTCACTAGTGGGCGTCAGGTGACCGTCAGGCTTTCCCAAGATCGACTGTCCACGCACTGACCCATGAGATCAGTGTGCATGAAGCCTTTATTATCTGCTGTGTGACTGACTGGTCGGACACACTGTGCTGAGTGCTGGGGACATGGGGATGGTTTTGCTCTCAAAGGCACTTACCTGTATGTGACTGCTCCATACTCCCCAGCCAAGGCTACTCGGCTAGCTGGGACCAGCTCCTGGCTCATCTTGCTGAAGATGGCTTCGCTAGAGGAGCCTGCCTGGAACGGTACAAGGCAGCCACTGTTACACAGTCCTGATGAAAGACAAGTTCCAAGCCCATCCTGTGATCCAGACCAGACAGCTGCTGCCTTGAACTGGCTTTGACCTTCCAGATAAGATAACCTCTCAGAAGGATTAAGCCAAAACTAGTTACTCCTGGGAGAAAGAGGGGCAGTGCTCTCCATGGCAACTTGGAGGGTGCTCCTTGCGCCTCAGACTTGGCAGCAAGGGGCTCAGGGCAGCAAGAGCGCCAAGATGGTCAGAGCACAGGGTGCTTCTTCCTGCCACGGGTCACCACCACCGGGTCACTCTGCAGACAGGTGGCGGCTGACAAACTCCACCTGGATTAAGCTGTGCAAGATCACAGGGCAGCCTTCCCATCCCCCTACGAACAGAAACCAAAGAAGAGGGGCTGAGGATTTAGCTCAGCGGTTCGGTGGCCTGCCTTGCAAGCGCAAGGTTCAATCCCCAGTACCCCTCCCAAAAAAAGAAAAGAAACCAAAGAAGAGAAACAGCACCCGATTTCCCTCACTTTATTATGAGTGGCTCCCAGGACCTGCAAAAGCTGAGTAGTACCAAGATCACGTACCACTCTCCAGTCCTTTACTTTTGTGACTACATCTGCCACGGGATGTTTCACAGACTAAGGATTTGGTGACTTGGGCCTTTTGCACCCAATATCAAAACAAGAAACTGCACTGTGGTGTCCAGCACGAGCTACCATGGCTTTGTCCACCTTAGCCTCTGACGGATGCTCTGGGCAGAGAAAAAGAACACTGGGTCCTGGTGAATTCTCTAAACCCATCTTGCGATGGCGCGGTAAAGACATTAAACAGACAGAAGTCTCTGGTTTTGTGAGGGAAATGCTCTTCAATGCCCCAAAGCCTTTAGCCCTTCCAAGAGCTGACAGCAGGGAGGCTCTTGACCTGAAGGTGGGGTTGAGGGGATGTTCAGAGGACAGGAGCTTGGCCCCTCTTCTTCAGGCTGGCAGGTTATGGGAGGAGGGGAGAGGAGAGGACCTGCTCCTCAGAGTGTGGGGCAGTGGCCCTGGCTTCACCTGGGAACTTGGATGGAATCCACTTTCAGGCTCCACTCCTGACCTGCTGAATCTAAATGCCTTTGAGCCTGATCCCTGGGTAAGCTGTGGGCATAATTTGAAGCATGCAGTTTCAGAATTTCATACAACAGAATGAGGAAGCCTAACCAGAGTACCCGGTCTTTGGAGCTGTGCCCTTTTCTTTCTTCAAGGAAAAAACAAAAAACAAAAAAACAAAACACCAGGAGGTCCACCTAGATGGGCATCTGGAGAAAGGACAGGGCTCGTTCTTACCGAGATGTTCCACATCATCTTGATGGCGAGGGGAAAGGCGGGGGCCCCTGCAGCCTGCTCCTCCTCTCCGTGTGGGATGACGTCTGGGCCTCTCCCTGGAAGCAGCCTGGTGCTCTTTGTCTTCTCTAGGTACTGGGGCAATGCAGGTATGGTGGCCTCATACACGGCAGCACTGCAGCCCTTGCCGAGGGACTGTCCTATCAGGTAGTCCTCTAGCCGGAAGCCCTGCCAGTATCGTGTGTCCAGCAGGTCAGGAACTGGCTTGATTTTCTGGGTAAAAATTGCCTGTGAGGAAACAAACCCACCATGATCAGGGAGTTCTAGGTGAAGGCAAACAGAGTGAAGAGAGGTATAGTGAGGCTGGGTCCTCATAGGTACGATCGAGAGCCAGTCAAACACCACCTTGGGTTTTCCTGCTCGCCCTGGGTGTGGGCCCTGCTCTGTCTCTATTCGGAATAATCTTTTTCCCACTCTGTGCTGAGCCACAATCAGAGCACAATGGGCACAGTACTGTGAGTCAGCAAGCAGGTGAGAACTTCTGGGCCTGGCAACTGCTTTTGTGGGCCCTGCTCTTCCTGCAGCCTTGGGCTGTTTGGAGCTAGTGCTCTACAAAGACTTTGACAGCTCTGGGATGGCTACCAGGGCTGTGGGATCTACAGGGACCCCAGGTGGCCTTGGCAGGGATGGGTGAGATCAGGAGTAGCTGCAAGCTGAGTCACTGAGCGCCGTCTTCCCAGCCGGTCCTTGGAGGACGCTGCCCAGTCTGCACTGCTCAGAGAGGCAAAGAGGTGCACGTGAGGACACTGATGGGAGCAGGTGCAGTGGGGTGCTGGGACTGCGCGGTGCTGGGACTGATGGCCCATTTCCCAGTCTCTGGGCTGTTCCCTGCTTCAGGTGGTGATGTCATTTCTCATCACCCAGGCTACACCTGTGTCCGCACTCACTCTACTTCTCTGATCACACGGTCCCTTCGCTGCCTCTGGGCCAGATCACAATACACTGCTACTCGCAAACCCTGTGAGGAGGCTACTCAATACTGTCAGCCCTCCATACCTGCAGGTTCTGCATCTACGATTCTGTCAACTGTAGATGGGAAATACTTGGAAAAAAAAACCTGCAAACGTACTGAACATGTACAGAATGTTTTGTCATTATTCCACACACGTGTACTATGATAACTAATTGCATGGCATTTACATTATACCGGACATTATAAGTTACCCAGAGGCGATTTACAGGAGGACTTGGCAGGGTCTATGCAAATGCTATCCCATCTTTTATAAGGGACTTGAGGATCCAAGGGTTTTGGTATCTGGAGGAGGTCCTGGAACCAATATCCAATGGATGCCAAGGGACAATAGTGCCTTGTCCTCGAGTTCTGCCAGACTGGGCTGAGCATGTCAGTGAGCTTTCAGCCACTTCTCTGTAGACTCCTGCCCCAGCGCCCTTATGTCCTCAAGTCTTGCTCTGCCTGGCGCATCTCTATTCCCTTATCAAACTCAACTCAAGCTCCTTCTTCTACAAGAAGCCATCATGATGACCTAGTCCATGGCAACTTTCCTTCTGGAGAATTCCTAAAGCACTTAGTAGCTATACCTTGCACAATAACTCCGAATGTTTTTTTTTTTTTTTTTTTTTTTTTTTGGTACCGGGGATTGAACGTGGGTCCTTGCGCTTGCAAGGCAGGCCACCGAACCACTGAGCTAAATCCCCAGCCCCAACTCTGAACTTTTTAATAAAGATGAAAGTCTAGAAGTGGGTGGAGGGCAGGGGTATGGGAAAAAACCAAGAACCAAAATATATCACATAAAGGTAAAAGATGTTACTGTATTGTTTGTTTTAAATGCACCAATAAACTTAATGGGGAAAAAAAAGAAAGTCTAAACTAGGAATGGTAGCACACACTTGTAAGCTCAGCACTTGTGAGGCTGAGGCAGGACTGCTGTGAGTTCAAAGCTAGTCTCAACTACACAGCAAGGCCCTGTCTCAAAAAAAAAAGTATAATCTTCCCTGTTTTCCCTAGCCAATAAGATGGGGTTTTTTATTTGTTTCTTTTTTTAGACAGGGTCTTGCTATGTAGTTCACGTTGGCCTTGAACTCACTGTGTAGGTCAAGCTGGCCTCCAACTCTTGGCAATTCTCCTGCCTCAGCCTCCCAAGTGCTGGGATTACAGGCATGCACCGCCACACCTGGCAACCAATAAATTTTATAAACTCCACAGAGCACAAGCAAAATTTTTGTAGAGTAATCCCACATCAACCATGATTTTGAGAATACAATATAATTTTTTTAACTTTTTTTTTTTGAGAAAGCATCTTACTACATAGTTCCGGCCGGAAGCCCTTGGACTCCTGGTGATCCTCCCGCCTCAGACTCCTGAATGCTGAGATTACAGGCCTCCACCACCACTTCCAGTTTATATAACATAAAAAGCATCATTTGTTGTGGTTTGGATCAAAATGGCCCCCAAAGGGCTCATGGCTCTTGGGAGGTGATTGGGTCACAAGGCTTTGGTGGATTATTGGAAGGTGACGGCAGGGGTTACAGGCAGTGGGTCGTAGGGTGTGACCTGGAGGACTCTATCCTGTCCTGGCTCTCTCACCTCCTGTCTGCCCCAAGGGAGCAGCTGTGCTGTACCCAAGCTCCCAACCATGCTGTCGGCCTCACTGCAGGCCCAGAAGCAAGGGGAACGGAGTGACGGTGGACCCAGAGCTCTGCCCCACAAGCCAAAGCAGCCCTTTCTCCTTTCAGCCACCTTTATCGATATTCTCAGTGACAGAAGGCTGACCACCCCACCCTAACCATTGTTAAGGGTGTGGTTCAGCAGCGTGAGGCACATGCACACTGCTGTTCTGCCATCTTCATTCCTTCTCCAGACCTTTTTCTCATCTTGCAAAACTGAAACTGTATGCATGAAACAGGAACTCTGGTCCTCCCTCCCTGCCTGGAACCACTGTTTCACTTTCTGTCTCCGAATCTATTCTCCAAACCTCTCACGGGTGGAATTGGACACCATTTGTCTTCAAGGTCTGCCCATTTTGCAGTACCTGTCAGAATCTTCTTCCTCTTTAAGGAGGAGCTGTAACATTCTATGGGACGCACACACACATTCTGTCTACCTGGTTTCCAGACATGGACACCTAGGCCACTTTCATCCCGAATACTGTAAATAAAGCTGCTGTGAACATGGCCAGATAAATACCTTAATGTCCCTGCTGTCAATTTGATAGGGAAAACTTTAACAGTGCAAACCTAGGAAATGTTAAAATGTAAGATAACCTTGCCCTTTGCTCTGTTTAGTTCAGCGTCTAGTCTCTAATAAAAGTTTTGTAAATGAGAAGAACCACTGTTAGCTTTGTTGACCAAACACCTCCCTTCCTCTTGGCTAGACTAGAGAAATCTTAAAAGATAACTTCCCCTAACAAAGAATGGCACTGAAATTCAACTGCCTCACCACCAAGTTTTGGGTATCAGCGAAGTGAACTGTGAAAATGCAAAGGAACCAACTGAATGAGACCAAGGCTGTAAAACCCTATAAATACAAAAGGAGTTGTAACCCAATGGGGCAGTCGATCAGGGCGCCATCATTAAGTGTGATTGATCCCCAGCCAGTAAACTTTTTTATTTTACTTCCATTCTGCTGCCTCTGTGTGTCACTTGCCAATTCCTTCCGTAACAAAATTATTTCTGGTATACATTCAGAAGTGGAATTTCTGGATATAATAATTGTTTTTAATATTTGAGGAATCACCACACTATTTTCCATAGCAGCTGCTTGTATACAGGCTTTTGTATGAACATAGTTTTAAATTCCCCTGGGTAAATGTCCATGACTGAAAAGAATGGGTGGTATATTTAATGCATGTTTAATGTAAGAAACTGCTAAATTAATTTCCATTTTATATTACCACACGTTTATGACTGGATTTTCTGTGTGTGTGCTCGGATCAAACCTAGGGTCTTTTTTTTTTTTTTTTTTTTTTTTTTTTTTTTTTTTTTTTTTTTTTGGTACCGGGGATTGAACTCGGGTCCTTGCGCTTACAAGGCAGGCAGCAGAACCACTGAGCTAAATCCCCAGCTCAAATTGGAAGTCAGAGATTTGTGTTGTTTTGTTGGCTTTTTTGGTACTGGGGATCGAACTTGGGACCTTGTGCTTGTGAGGCAGATTGCAGCACCACTAAGCTAAATCCCCAGCCAAACCTAGGGTCTTGTGCATGCTAGCAAGCACTTTACCACTGTTTTTCTTTGGTTGGTTGTTTTTTGGTACCGGAGATCGAACTCAGGACCTTGTGCTTGCAAGGTAGCCATGGTGCCACTGAGCTAAATCCCAGGCCTGTTTGTTTCTTTTAAAACATGCCTCCATCTAGGAATAGAGAAGTTATAATTTTACTCCAGTCTGATACGACATGGAATTTTAGTACTACCAGAATTACCAATATGGTGATCTGTTCAAGAGAAATCTAATGCCTGATTTTTCCATGTAAAATTAATGAGTAACTAATTAAAATTTTTAAGATACAGGAGGATAAAGTGTAAGATAAGGGTGTGTGGATGATAAACTTAGGTGGATTAATCTTAGTAAAAAGAAAAAAAAAATCTCCTTAGTTTTAAGCAGGATTTGTTAAATTTTCCATCCTTGGTTTCTGTCAGCTACGTGGTAGCAAAAGACAAGAACAAGAATTGGGCAGTAGGCTCAGCCCACCTGTCAGCCCGTACTGGGCCGAGCTCAAACATGAGACATTGCTGAAGCGAAACGATAACTGGGCCGGGAACCGGAACACGAAAGCCGCTTGGTCCTCAGCCTGCTGTGTCCTCGGTGGTCACTACGCCCTCTTCCCCTTCCGCCCTGTCCGTAAAACGCAGGGCCACACTGACTCACACGAGGGGTTCCCAGGCCCGGGAAGGACGGGCCTCTCAGAAGAGGGTGGAATTCTGGCAGTCACAGCCTTCAGACTTGAACCGCAGTCTGGTCTTCCCTGGGTCTGCAGCCTGCCCTGCAGATTTTAAGACTCGCCAGCCCAGAGTGAGCCAAGTTCTTAAAATAAATCCCTCTCTCTAAATATACACACCCTACTCATTCTGGAAAACCTGATACTAGACCTTGGTGGAGCAAACACAGAGGTCTCTGTTTAAGCATTTAAAAAGCCTAGCAGCCCCTATGTTTGCAGTCACCCGTGGTAAATCTACAGTTTAATTAAAACGTTAGGTCTGCCGTTTTCTCTGCTGCTGGTAGTTTTTATTGCCATTGCAGCAGCCACTGACTAAACACTTGCGTAAACCGGGCAGCCTGGATCAGTGGTTGAGGGCACAGACTTTGGAAAGCCAAATTTCGGGCACTGCTGTTATTAGCTGTCTCTGAGCAAGTTAGTTCACCTCTCTGAGTACACGTCCTTCTCCACAATGGGTAACAGCTACCTCAAGGGGTAAGAGTTATGACTCTTGTTATTAAATTTTATGACGCTGTTATTAAATTTTTAGAAAATTTACACAAAGCCATTTGCCATGATGCAACTGGTGCTATAAGTAGCAGCCTATTTTCCAAAACATGCTGTTTTAGCCAGGCGTCATGGCGCATGCCTGTAATCCCAGCACTCGGGAGGCTGAGGCAGAAGGATCACTGTGAGTTCGACACCAGCCTGAGCTACACAGTGAGTTCCAGGTCAGTCTCAACTACAAAAAACAAAACAAAACATGCTGTTTGACAGAAGGAAAACAGTTGAGGAAATATGAGCTGCTGCTCTCGTTCCAAACCATCAAAAGAGGTGAAATAAGTCAATCTTAACTGGTTCTTTTCTTTTCTTTTTTTGGAGACAGGGTCTCACTATGTAGTTGAGGCTGACCTGGAACTCACTATGTAGCCCAGGCTGGTCTGGAACTCCCAGTGATCCTCCTGCCTCAGCCTCCCAAGTGCTGGGATTACATGCGTGCGTCACCACACCTTGTTTAACTGGTTATTTTTCAAGGACCTAACCTCCTCCCACCCACCTGCAACCACCACGGGCTCAAAGCACTGCCTCACTCCATGACAAATTCCCAGTTCTCAAGCAAGATCCGTCCCGTGCAGCCGGGCATGGTGGTGCACGCCGGGAATCTCAGCAACTGTCTCAAAAAACAAAAACAAAACAAAAAAGATCCGCCCGTGCATTTAGTCCTGCGTGGCA